TCTGTTTTTTAGGCGAATGTGTCTTCCTTGAACAAATTATTAGGGGTATGAAAACTTCACTTATATCCTTGAAATTTGACTCGGAGGTATGAAACTCTGTCAGTTTTCGTCATTGATCTACTGCAGTGTCCTTCAGCTTAACGCATACCAGACCCACATCGGTATAAGAGATATCTTCCGTTTCGAATTGTCACGCCTCAAGAGATACACGATTAGATCAAACCGAAACGAAACAAATTTAGACGGAATAGCGTATTTGAGGGTGGTTCATCGGTGCCCTTCAAACAGCGCGTTAACAGTTTTTCTTTATCGGGAAGATCCATTTAAACGATAAAAACAGCTCTCATCAATTATTTATAATGGTATTTCCATAAGGATCATCTGGCATAATTTAAAATAAAATATGACGATGACAAAGATAACAATTATAACTATACAGATATAAGTCATGAGCATCAAATTCTTCGTAACTCACTTTAAGCTTAAGTCGAGTCTTTAAAAAAGTCTAGACATCACTCCGTCAGTTTCTGTTTTTAGGCTATCGTGATTGGAAGTGACTTTTATTATCTATCAGGCTACCCCTGTAGCTAATTACAGGAGTAATCCGGCTTCCCGTTTCATTTGTGACTGCGATATCGGAGTATCGCTTGTTTACGCGTGTAAATTAAAACCTTCTCTTTGAGCCGTAGACCTCATTCAGCGTCATAAGATGTTCACAGTGCGGCTAAGATTGACTTACTTTGAAGAGAGATTATGAACGATTACTTTCTCTTGATGTCCAACTATAAAAAACCAATCAATCACTCTCTATATGGTCATGTACTATTATACAGCTAAACTATCATTGGTGCGATAAGATGGCCCGCGAAAAACAGCGCAAATTTTAAGATTGTAAAGGAAACTACATGCAAAGAACTTAAACACGAAGGCGCGCTATAAAAGGAGCCTTATGTCCCACTGGACCATTTGTCAATGAACCGTCGAGTAATTTAGAACTCTTAGAGTCAAATCAGCTTGAGCTACAGCTACTACAAAGCAGTGAACAGCGGGCGCATTCCTCAAAATTGTTTATGTCTTCATCGGAATACAATAATTTTTGATATTTGTATTTCCTTTCTCCAATGGAAACTGTCTTTATTTGTGGCGTTAAATTTGAGATCGAAGTAGGCGGTTCGCACGTTACCTCATACCACCATGCTGGTGGAGGTAAAAAATAAATATCTCATTAGCTCCTTTTGTTCGTCTACCAGCATTTGAATTTAACCCGCACACGTCGACAGTGAGTGACAAATGAGCCTGGTCTTCCCAAGGAAGACTTCCTCTTTTAGCGCGCCTTCGTGTTTAAAGATATATGGGTTTCGAAGAGTTGGAAAATGGATCTTTGAAGTACTCAGTACTACTTAAGTCCATTACATACCCTTCGGTGCTGCCTATACTTAAATGGCCCTAAAAACTTTTCAAAAATATGGTGATAACCTTTTCCCAGAATGAAATTGAATTCGAATTTTATTCCACAAGTGGCTTTTCCACAACAGGTCCCCTCAACATCCTTCTTCGGTCTACTAAATTAGAAGACAGTGTCAGGTTTGTAGAAAGAGGAAAACTATCGAAATGGGAAAAGAATCTTAGGAGCAAGAGACACAATTGAATAAAAAGTCAACCCACACGTAATGCGAAGTCCAAGCCAGGCGCATCTCCGCAGTTAGAGGCAACTGTTCTCACTAATCCGCCATTCCTGCTAACAAATCTTTGGATAAAATCTCCTCTAAACTTTCATATACTCAGTGTAAGAGTTTACTTCAAGGCAAGACGGCGACAACTTATCCTATAACTGATAGTGGAAAATATTTAAGGTGGATTGACACCAACCTGAACACGCACGAGTGTTTCTTCCACTATCCAGAGAGCCCAAAATACCCAGAAGAAAAGTCTCGAGCAGGAGCGAACTAAGCGTCATGGCCAGGTACAGCCGGATTTCCTATTTCGACTTATTCCACTTGAACGGCTTCGATTATATTCCCGGCTAGGGGTCGTAAAGAAAAAGAAAGCCCCATTGACTACGGAAGACGTCGGTAAACCAATCACGTAATTGTCGAAGCGGAAATTTGGATAAGGTGAGGTTAAAAAGAAAGGTGAAAAGTCTTGTGCATAATTATGTCTGATGCTCAAAACTCACCCACAGGCCTCCGCGATGCAAATTCATTCCAAACTTCGCCTGCCTTCAACCAGTTTTCGTGTGGACATTCTATTTGCTGCCCTAGAAACTCGTTTCTCATAAATTTTTCAAGCGTTATCTCACGAAAACATGCCTGAAGCCTTTATTCCGTTTACTCGTCTGCTGTTTATGAGGTAAAACTCTGTGCAAGACGCCAGAGGGTTGAAGTCGAAACTGCCGTTTGATGCAGATCCCAGCTGTGGTCTGCTCGTTTGACACACACAGTTACATTATGATCAAACCAAATAATAGCGTAGTTACGGCTATACATGCTTGTTCGCTGCGATTTTTTTAGCAAAAAAACTCATGAGTAAAATCTGACTGAAAACGCAATATTCCGCACAATCAAATAAACCAGAAATCCAACGGAGCGCGTCAGCACAAAACACACTGAGGAAGATTTATTTTTTTTGAAAACGGTGTAGAAAAATAACAAAACACTTCTTAAAGATAAAAAACAACTTTCGTTTGATACAGGGAGGCGCTCGTTAAGAAATAGCCCGCTGTGCAATTGGCCATTGATTCGGGTGGGATTTTACTGAGCCCATAATAACGTAGGTGGGAGAATTCACAAATATAATTATAGACTTTTTTTTGTTCGTACAAAAGAAAGCTTGCAGTTTACTTGGAGAGTCTCATTTATTATTTCATAAGTTACTCACAACTTTTTAGTTTGGAGACCCCATGGTTAGGGCCACATCCAATGGGATATAAAATTTCATTCGTTTAAGCATCTTTAAATGAGAAGAAACGACGGTAAATTAACAGTTTACACAATCTAGTTACGAACAAATCAAACGGGCTAGAGGAGTGGAGAGGATGGAGAATGAAGAGGATGGATACAGAAGACAATGACAGTTTCAAAAAAATTGCACTGCTTTTTAGGAAATAGCACCTAGCTCCTCCGAAATGCAAACAATAAGGCTACGAGAAGTCATTAGAAGTGTAAAAATAAAGGCAAAATGTGTAACGTCTATTTACGGTCTATTATCAGTTTTTAAAATCATTACACTCTGGCGGTTTAAGTCAATTTGGAATGTCTGTCCGCGGTTACAGTTGACATGCGGAAAATTATAACTTTATCACGCGATTTACGGATTTACATGTTTAATTGGCGGTTTAGAAAGAATAGTAAACAGGCTCAGAAAACTGAGCGGTTACTTTATTCCACTCGAATACAGTTTTCTCAATGCAGTGTATTGAGCAACTTAGTTAAAGTATTCGTACCAATTTTAGCGATATTTTTGTAGGACTGCCGAATGATGTAAATGTACTGTAATCAAGTAACATGGTTCCTGTTAGCGGGGATCCAGTTATCGGGATTGGTGTTGAATTTCAGTCGTCCTGTTCATAACGAATAATTATATAAGTAATCCTGCGTTTACCGCTCTTGCACAACAAACAGTCCTTTTTGCACATTAATGTGCCTCAGAAAACCCTCTTGATATGAACGGTCAATTTGGTAAGTTAAGCTGAAGTGTACATGTATTACGTTTTCATCACATCAATTAAAGATTTTTTTTTTATGTTAAAAAACATTAAGTAAAGAATGTGCAAAGCACTGTTAAAAGATCGGCCAAGGCCGCTTCCTTCTTTTGGAGAAAACGGAAGCGGTTTGCGGTCTAGAAAGAGCAAAATAATGCGGTTTCCGGAGTGTTTGACCCCTATAATACCGACCTCAAGACACCTATAATTACTATGTAAGACGCACTAATTAGCGCTGTTCTGAAAGGTCACATCGCGGTTAAGGTAACCAGTAAATCAAGAGAAGATTTACATAATACCTGACATATCGACCAATATGTGGTATTCTGATTAAGACTGATGGCTTGGTCCTATTACTAACAAAGAGAATCTCTCTAAACATAACTGACAATCCTAATACCTTTCACATTGAACAAAAAAGTTACAAGAGAGTGTTGTGTCATCCAGTGTAATCTCCAGATTGACTTCTGCTAAATTTTCCCACATAAGCATTCGATCTTCGTATTAACCACTACACGAAACGATAGCTGCTAATGACAGAACTTCACAACGAAGAATAATACCTACATGTCGGTCTCCCATATTATTTACATTACAAAAGTGAACAGTTCAAAAAAGAAATATCTCCGTTTTTACGGTGACTTACAAGGTGACTGGAGTCAGTGGGCTCAACTTTAAGTTCATTCAAAATAAATAAAATCTTATTGCCATGTTCTTGGGCGGGAAAAGGGATTTTCCACATTTTGCTCCATTTTAGTCGACTGTCAAATTTCCTTTTCTCCATAATTTTATCGTTGGCAATTTTTCCGAACGTTACAAGACTCAGTGCAGTGAGACGAGACATGAATGAATTAGTCTATGAACGGATTTCCAATCTTCAAAATTAACCTTGGGGTTCAAAAGAAACGTCGTAAATTATTGTCCAAACAAGGAAAAAAATAGGCATTTGACCCTTCGAGATTCCTTTCATGATAAATCTTT